AGATAGAGTCTCACTCTGTTTCCCAGGCTAAAGTGCAGTGGTGCAATCTCAGCTCACTGCAATCTCCACCTCCCAGGTTCAATCGATTCTCCTGCCTCGGCCTTCTGAGTAGCTGGTATTACAGGGACCACCATGCCCGACTAATTTTTGTATTTTTAGTAGAGATGGAGTTTCGCTATATTGGTCCAGCTGGTTTCAAACTCCTGAACTTGTGATCCGGCCACCTCAGCCTCCTAAAGTGATGGGATTACAGGCATGAGCCACTGCGCCCAGCTGACTGTTCTTGATGCAGTGGGAAACACTGTTATATTGACCTGGAAATCGAGGCTCAGAGAAATGAAATGAAGTCCCCAAGGTCACATAGCAGGCATGTGTTGATTTCAGGAATTTGGTTTTAAACCTAAGGAGTCTGGCTCCTGAGCTGGGGGCTTTCAGTCACTTTACCGTGGCATGTAAAGCTGTTGTCATAAGGCAGGCACAAGGGAGGATGGGTAAGACTTAGGTGCTGTTCCTGTTATTGTTGCTGGTGTTGTTGTTTTTATTATTATTCTTTCCAATTCCTCTGATATGTCATAGCACTTACTGTCTGTGCCTCTCAGTCCACTTGGGATTGTCCTAACCTTATTTCTGTGTTAAGTGGCTTCCTGCATAGGAGCCTTCTGTCTCCTCTGCACTTCTGTAATCCATGCAAGGTAGTGTCCACGTTCCCCTTGATCCTGGCACAGATCTTGGCCCTTTGGAGGTGCTTGGTGATTTGGTCTTTGATTCTCTGTGCATCTTTTGCAGTGCTGGAGTGGCAGGTTCTAATCCTATTTCACAGTTCCAAAGGAAACATTACTGCCTTTGTTTGACTTTTCAGGAGTCTGTGACCTTCGAGGATGTGGCTGTGACATTCACCCAGGAGGAGTGGGGGCAGTTGGATGTGACCCAGAGGGCCTTGTACGTGGAGGTGATGCTGGAGACCTGTGGGCTTCTGGTTGCACTGGGTAAGGCCTGTCCTCTCCTGTCCTTTCCTCTCCTCTCCTACATAAAGGGCACCTGAAAATAGCTTCATTTTAGCCTCATTAATCTTCATTCTGGCTCCAGGCCTGGCTGGTGGAGTAGGTCAGGTCATGGGAGCCACTCCTGTTTCTGTTTCCCAAAGTTTCACTCTTTTTTTTTTTTTTTTTTTTTTTTATATAGTACATATGTTTTTCTCTAACTTACTTTATTGTAAGAATATAGTGTATAATATATACTATATATATTTTTTCTCCTTTTTTTTTTTTTTTTGAGATGGAGTTTCAGTCTTTTTGCCTAGGTTAGAGTGCAGTGGCACGATCTCGGCTCACTGCAACCTCCATCTTCCGGATTTGAGTGATTCTACTGCCTCAGCCTCGTGAGTAGCTGGGATTACAGGTGTGTACCACCACACCCAGCTAATTTTGTATTTTTAGTAGAGGCAGGGTTTCTCAATGTTGATCAGGCTGGTCTTGAACTCCTGACCTCAAGCGATCCGCCTGCCTTGGCCTCCCAAAGTGCTGGGATTACAGCCATAAGCCATCACACCTGTCCTAATTTTTTTGACTCACCTGGTTCTTCCTGATCTTTGTGTCTTACTTAGGAAGGGTTGGCTAAGAAATATAGTTTGCTTTTGGTCATAGCCAAAGGAGAGGGATGTGTTATTAGAAAATGGGGATGTTTTGCAGAACCCAAAGGCAAGATTTGTAGCCAGGCTGCTTGCGGAACTTATACTGCATTTGGAAGGAAGCGTGATTGTGCCCTGCCTTCTGTCTTGTGCTGGCTTCCCTCTATGGGTCTGCTCCTGTCACTCTTTTCATAATGGCTTTTTCTGGCTTAGCTATTCTCTGGAACAAAGTGACCATCCAGTTCTTGTTCTCTGAGGCTCACACATTCCTTGGCACTACCACTTCCTGCATATTTTTGTTGTTTCTCTGTTGACATTCTTCTCACTTAATTCTCCCAGCATCCCCATCCTCAGTAAGTAAGGTTAGGGCCATTGCAGTGAGCACCTCAGAAGCTTAATTCATTCAGTTTAATAGATATACCTTCTTTGTAAGATGCTGTTTGTTGCATTTTTTTCTTGGTAAAAGTTATTTCTTTTGTGAAGTGTTGATTTTGATGTTTGTGCAAATGTCTGTATGTGGCCAAATCGCTGTTTTGAGTTCTCTCCCAGTTCTTTTTTTCAGTGGTTCATGAAATGTCAAAGTGTGGCGTCACCACATGTACCCCTCATTCTGGTGCCCTATTCCCTTAGGATTGGGTTCCTCTACTCATGTCTCCCATTCTTCTTTATAGCCTACTTGTTTTGAGGCTCCTGGCACCACACAGGGGTGTTCTCCATTTCCTCTGAGCATAGCACTTGGGAAACCAGGGTCTGATGTCTCAGAGTGCAGTCCTAGCTCCACTCCTTATGAGCTGTGTGTTCCCTGGGCAAGGTACTGAACTCCTCTGTGCTTTAATGTTCTTTTTAGAATTTTTATTTCTTTATACCCATGCCAGTGCAGAGAAGTGCCTCACTTTTCTCATG